GAAAGCCTTGTTATCAAGAGCAGGCTATTTCTCCACAAGCCTCCCTGCAGCACTGAAAGCCCCACTGCATTTGCTCCAGCTCTAGTCTCACCTTGAGATTTAAACTTACAACTATCCAGCCCTGTATTCCACCATATCAAGCAAAATATTAGTGGGTTTTTTGTTTGTTTTGTTTTTTTCCCAGTCATAATGGAACAGAAATTATTTCTGGAAGAAAGGAAATGAAAAATTATGGAAGCAAAGAATGACCAAACCTAACTCAGTCCAGGTTCACATGCTGCAGAAAACTAGGACAAGTTTTGGATGCAATTCCATGTTGACACATGATGTTTAACCATGCCCATAATAAAACCCACTTGACTGAAATAAAACATACACAGTACAAAAATCCACTTGACAGAAATGTTACTCATTAACATTCCTTCCACACCTTGCACGAAAGCATTACTTGTGAAAAGTGTCTGCTTGTGACACAGCCTCTCACTTGCAAACTGCTGGGTAGGTACCCAAGTCTCATTTGGAGAAAGAAGTGATAACCTTAATAACAAACGGCTCGCTTCCCAGCATCATTTGCATTAATTTCTTGACCTTTGCTTTCACTATCAACACAAAATAGCTTTGGCGGTTGCACACAGGGTGATAAGAGCAAGAAACAAGGTCGAGGTTGCTCTGTTTCTTCACGTTACATGTTACACAAAGCAAGTTGTGACTTGCGCACCTGAACGCAGAGGGAAATCAGTTAAGTCACTTAAGGGTCTGGTGAACAACCTTTCAGGCAGCTGAGTGCCTGGCTTGGCTTCCAAAAGCTGCCAGGCTCGGCTCCGGGATCTGCCCGAGAGCCGCAGAGCCACCGTGTTTCCCTGCAAGGTCCCGCAAAACTTCCCCCTCGCCGTGTCTCCCCGGGTACCAGTGCTGAGCCCACAGCCCCGGCCGCAGACACAGGGAAAGACAGGAGCTGCGCCCGCCGCCACGGGGAAGGAGGAGAGCCCCGGGGATCAGCAGCCGTGACTCACAGCCG